GGTTTAAAGCCCAATCTGAGTGGGACTTGGATTATAGCGCCCTTCGACCAATTAGGGCAGCAACTAAGAGATCAGGGCAATTCCTAAAGGAGTTAGGACATCCCCTTGCCATTCGCCCTAAAGGAGTCCTAAATCGCCTAAGCTCTCTTCCCATCCTATAATCGACCCTAGTTGCAAGAGAAGAATAGGAGAAGAAAGAAAAAAAATTATCAAGTTCAAGCTTTCAGCCACTGATCCTCTTTCCTCCTGCTCTAATAGTCGAAGTTTTTCTTCAAATGTCATCCAGCATTTTTAATCACTTTCAAAAGTTACCTTATATCATAACCTTATGTGAAGATAATGGAGAGTTAAAAGAGAAGATCAAAACCAATAGTTAACTCTATGGAGAGTAACTAGTATGCTGAAGTGCAACTTACACTTGTTATGCAAGAAGTTAAGTCTTTCATCTCTTTTAGTCTTTTTTTCTTTAGATTTTGTAAACTTTTAATTCAAAGCAATAGATGATATCTTCTTTTATATTTTATGCTTTTTATATAGTAAATTTTTAACTTCTTTATAAAATAATATTCGAACGATATTTGATTCAAACTCTTCGAGTTCAAACCCAGATTCAAGAGTTTAAAAATAGAAAATAAAAATGATCCACAACAAAGAATTATTAGAAGTGAATTAAAGATATTCTTCTATATATTAGATAAAGAAAGGGGCACTGATCGAAAATTTTAAAAATAAAAAGATCTTTGGAAAAAAACTTAAAAAGAAAAGTTTTTAAAAAATTTATCATAAAAAATTTCCTCGAAAATAAAAACACAAGTGAGACTTGCCCTTTGCCGAGGGGGCAGAACCCCCCGGTCCCTGGGTTGGCGGACACGTGGGACCCTCACGCCTATCTCCATTCCCTTCCTCAGAACAACCTGCGCCGATCTCCATCCCCTTCCTCACAACAATAACAACAAGGAGGAATCGAGGAGGATCGATTCCTCATGGGCACATCAGCTGAGCGATGGCTTCCACCCTATATGGAGAGCGATTCCATGGGCATGTTTGCCACATCTCTCCGCTGCAGCGGCAGGGACGAAAGGAATCAAAGTGCTCAGAAGCAGAGGGGGAAAGGGTGGGATGTGCCGCGATAAGGGCGAGAGACTTGTCGCAGGACAAGGCCGACACGTCCACATGAGCTCGCTCAGCAATTTCCCATGACGGGAATGGCGGAAAAGGAAACGTGGAAAGGCTTTTGGAACGGCATAAACCCCGCAACCCACATAGTAGGATTCGTGACACTCAAGTCAACCCCACAAATGCTCCGGCCTACCTTCTTGTTTTGGGTCAACCTAACTTTCTTTCGGATTCGGTGTCCACCTAAAGTATGAAGATGATTCCGATCTTTCTCTGTCATTTACACGCCGCAGATGGCGATAGCTAGCAGACTGTGCAACAGAAGTTGGCTAATATACCTTCAAATGCACAGAAGAATAAAAGGATGCCTTCACAACTCATAATTCTCCCACGAAAGTGAAATTGAAGGATTGGATTTTGTTAAATGACACCATCACATGTAGCAGTTTACTAGTATCAAATTGTCCCAATATTTATGACTCATTTGTATCTGTAAATTAAATTTGAAGGATTTGAACCTGAAACTATAGGACGAAGTGTCGGCGAAGAAGCATGTGATAGCCACGTCTCAACAAATCGAAACCCAGAAAGCACAGATATGAATATGAATCTGCAGTGCAGAGAAGATACATTTACCTACTTCTCAGAGCTGGTAAAAACTTAGGTTTGCGATCAATAATCCTCAAATATTACCATGAATTTGAGGCATGTACTTGAAAACCATTTCTATGACCAGATTTCTCTAGTATTACCGCTGTTACTTTCCATAAAGAAAATAAGAGAATTCATGTACCAGAAACAGAGCATATATGGGCGGTCTGTGATCGTACAATTCATAATGCAACAGTATAAGCGGATTCAGCAGAATGAATCATACTTGTAGCACAACATAACTCGAAGCTCTTTATCTTGTACTGAGGGAGGGAATTGGCATGCTGTAATAGCTTATATGTGAATATAACTTTTAGATGATTGAATTAATACCACAAGAGCTACACTGGGTCGTTTTGTGTTCTGAAGAAACAGAAATCATGAATAACTACAATAAGTTCAGTTTTATATAGAACTTCCGATTATATGAGTAACACTCACTGCTTGGCTTGTTTTTGTTTAGAGAATTGCTATATCTGATCTCTCTCTCTCTCTCTCTCTCCCTCCTATTTATTAAGAATCCAACTGTGTTTATAGTCTGAAACTTGCAATCTCTGTTCTCCTATCCAACAGTAAGCCAATACTTACTTACACTGTTGAAGTGGCAGGGAATGATGGGAAATTGAGGGATTTGGCATTAGCAGCTACCCCTTCATCGAGCCTTCTTCCACGTATGTTATGGGCCGTTAAAGGACAGACAGACAGGAATATCAATACTCACCTCTAAAAACACGTCAATTAGGAGCTCCAATTCACTCCGGGGAGCTGGTATGGCTGCTGGAAGATGGCTCCACCATCCCTCAGTTGTCGAAGCATCATTTGGTCATGGAATGTTGCTCCATGCGGCATCTGGTTGAGAATCATCTGATTTTCATGGCCACCATCATCGTTGGTGGCACTGCCATTGCTGTAGCTACTGGTATTGTTTTTGTTGGCAGCACTGCTACTACTATTGCCATCGCCGGTGTGGAACCTCTTGGCCGATGGTGCTGCGATGTCGGTGGAATCGATCCAGTATGCAGAGGCAAGAGGGTTCCTCGTGGGGAAGGTACCGGCCGGAAGCAGCGCAAGGTTGAGTTGGGCCCTTGGCGCTGCTGCAGCAGCAGCAAGATGGGTGATGGGGTTGGACGGCAGCCCAACCTCGTTCGCGAGTAGTCCCTCAAAAAAGGTCTCGTCGTTCTCGAGCAGTGCGTTGTAGTTGGTCGGAGGTCTTTGAGGTAGAGGACCGGAGTCAGGCTGCCCGCCTGTCGCCGCCGTCTGCTGAGCTAGAGATGGTGCGGCCCCGAGGATGTCGTCCATGGCATCTTCCCTGTCCCGTTGCATCGCCCTCATGTCAACACCGACGTCGCTACTGTTGTTCTTCTTGTAGATGCGGCACAGAACCCAATCGTCCAGCTGCATGAACCATAAGCAACAGGGATTGTCATGTAACAGTGATGGTTCTGAGTATATGGCAGGAATTTACCCTGAGGGATCCGCCCCTCTTCTTGTTCGCCATGTGGCCACCGTGGGGTGGCCTGCAGCTGCTACTGCTGCTGCTGTTGCTGTTGCTGTTGCTGTTACTGTTGTTGTTGTTATCAGGGCAGCACCTGCTGCTGGCATCTGCGAGCCGGTACTCATGCATGATCCAGTTAGTCTTGATTCCTCTGGGAGGCCTCCCACGGTAGAACACGAGGGCTTTCTTCACTCCGACCTTGACCTGGTTCCCACCGGACGTCAGCACGGGCTTGTCCGTTCCTGTGGCCTTCCAGTAGCCGGACGTGGCCGCCCTGTTCGGCCGCGCCCCGTTCGGGTACTTGCGGTCCCGGGGGCTGAAGAAGTACCACTCTTGCTCTCCAAAGCTCGCCTTGCCTACATAAACCACGATCGATCAACGACTAGGAAGGATAAAAGCAGTCCTACAGGATCAAACAAGGGCTGATGGTGAATGCAAATCAAGGAACAGACACGGACCTGGGAGCTCCCAGGGGTCGAACTTATAGAGATCGACCTCCGTGATGATGGCAACGGGGAGCGGGGCGGAGGCGGCCTTCTTCTTGAGGTAGTGGACGACGAGCTCCTCGTCAGTGGGATGGAAACGGAAGCCCGGCGGGAGGTGCGGTTGTGGCGGTGGCTGCTGCTGTTGCTGAGGTTGATGTTTCATGCCGGAGGACGAGTCGGTGCTATCTATCTCCATCTCTAGGGAATTAATTATAGGGGAGAGAGAGAGGAGGAGGAGGAGGAGGAGGGAGGAGGAGGAGGAGGAGGGGTTATAAAGGGCCAGAGGGATGTGTGTGTGTGTTGGGGCAGGCGGGGGGGTGGAAGAGGAGGGTAGTGGGCGTGCCGATAGCGTTGGGCCGGGGATTCCGCTGGGTCAGCGAACGGCCTCTTCCGGGACGGTGCGTGATATCGTCCGCTCCGGCGGACAGCGTTGGGGACGTGTCGAGGGGGAGGGGATGGGGCCCACGGCGAGTTCCGGGTGTGTGAAAGTCCCGTTTCCGTTTCTTGTGCCAACCCAGTTCGGGTCACGCCGGTACGAGGAGTGACGTCACCCAGAAAAATAAATGTCGGTCCAATCACCTTTGTATATCGGATTCATCCAATTCGCACATCACAATCCTATACTGTTGCTGATGGTTCATGTGATCATGTGGTGACCGCTCTCTCTCTCTCTCTCTGAGTCAGCATTTTTCAATCAAATTCCTAGATACTTTAATCAATATTCGAATAAGTTCAAGTACAGAAGTAGGTAAGTTTAATGAGATCGATGTCAAGGTAGCTGATTGAGATCCATTGTCATTCCTACTGTCTCTAAAATTCTGATATCCTTTAATCAAGTTTGGAATAAATTCTAGACAGGGATTGTACTAATTGATAAATGATTATGACAACGTATAGGACTTTTAGCATATCCATTGTCATTCCTACTGTCTTCGAAATAAGTAATGTCTTTGATCTAATTCATTCATCTTTTAACCTATACCTCATATCATTGTACGATTATGATGTGAGTATCAAAGGAAGCCTATAGTAAATGAGGGTATTTTTGAAAAAATTATTATACTCCTAAAGGATTTCTTTCTTTATCTCATCCGATATGTAAATGGAGACATGTGTTGGTCTATGGTTGGGTGGCGAAACGAGCCTTTCGGGGGACCCATCAAGTGGTAATGCTAATGGCTCCTGAGAAGGTTGCAACTATTGTTTCGCGGAATATACTCGTGTAACCTTTTTATTTCTCTTATGTTATTTTTGATGGGCAAACATGAAGAAGAGACTCAGGACTGTCCCAACTGTATCATTGATATCATGCTTTTTGTGATGTTGTGGGTATCATGTGCTCATGCATCATCGTCATGATGACGTTGTAAAAGGTAAAATAAAGGGAACCTCATGCACTCTCTATTTATGTTATCTTTTCACAACTGCTACAAAGATGTCATCGACAGATTCGTATGCACTCTCTATTTATGTTATCTTTTCACAACTGCTACAAAGATATCATCGGATAATCGATTAATTATATTTATGAGACTAAACTATATACCTACAATTTCGAATTCCAATTCTGTGTGTTTTAGTTTCGATAAAACCGGTTTAGTAAAGATATTAACTTGAAATTGTACGAATACGTAGTGTAAGAGGAATTCAGTTTGCAATAAGGTAAATAGCAAGAAGTAAATGCAAACTAGATTTTATAGTGGTTTAGTCGTCGTGACCTACATCCACTTCGTCGATTCCTCTTCTATCGAGGCCACCAGCATCTACTATCGATGTTCTTTCAACGGGCGAAGATCAACTACCCTTTTACAACCCTTTTCTCCTTTTTACAGGTTTAGGAGATAACCCTTACGAGCACTCACTCCTCTCTTATAGAATTCTCAACTTAGAGTGGAGGAGGGAATTTATAAAGAGATTACAGTAGCGTTTTCTCACTTTTGAATTCTCTGTGCTTGTATAAGTTAACCAGGGATTAGAGGGGTATTTATAGGCTTCAAGTTGATTCAAACTTTGAGCCTAAAAAGGTCTCATCCCAAGTTTCCTGGGTACTAGCGGTACCACCGCCGTTCCCGCCGTTCCTGGGTGGTACTACTGTCACAGGATCTGCTACTAGGCGGTACCACTATCGAACAGGGGTGGTACCACCACCTAGCCTAGGCGGTACCACTGCCCAGGTTTCCTGGGGTGCTGTTCCCCAAGCGGTGCCACCACCGGCCAGGGTTTCAGCACCCTGGTTGGGCCTTGAATTTGGCTCAAACCAATCTAACTTAGGGCCCAATTAGCCCCTAACAGAGTTGATGAGATTACCTCCCAATCCCAACTCCAATTATATGCTAACAATGATTCCTAAGACATAATCTAAGTAAAATAAGTCTGGTTTCTTCCGACGAGCTTCCGGCGAACTTTCGACGATCTCTCAGCAATGTTCCGGTGGTCTCCCAACTAGCTCCTAGACTTCACGACGATCTTCTTGGTGAGTTTCGATAATCTTCTTTGGCAAGCTCCTGGACTTCTTGGTTGGTTCCAACAAAAGTTCCGACGAACATCCGAACTTCCGATGAACTCTCGAACTCCCAACGAAATTACGTTCTTGACTCCGGGACTTCATTTTACTTTATGCCTTGCTATTGTAGTTAATCCTGTACACACAAAAACACACTTCGATCTAGAAAATTATCACTAAGCATGAATCATGTTATCTGCATGTCATCGACGTTTCGTTCGATTCTTCGGCGCATCGTCTAATCTGCGGCTTATTGCCCAATCGGCCAGTTGACCTCCGCAACTCCGATATCCTTGGCGCAATATCTGCTCTTCTTGGCCCGATGCTCAAATCCATGGTCTGAAGCTTTCTATCGATACATCGACCGATCCTCCAGCCCGACGTCCGATCTTCTGACACGTTTTCCTCCGGCCCAACATGATTCTTCCTGTTTTAATTATCTCTCCCTATCGAAGCATCCCGCGTCACTCAAAACGCAGATCAAATCATAAATACTATCAATTAATTTCATCATCAAAATCTAAGATTCAACAATCTCCCCTTTTTTATGATGACAACCAATTAATGACGGAGTTAATTTTAACTCCTGGAGTTTAAACAAACTCCCCCTATCAATATGTCATATTGATAGAACCTTGAATTCAAGTCATTGTAAATTTTATCATGAATATTTGCAACACATCATAATATGATCATACTTCTCCCCATTTGTCATCAACAAAAAGGAGAAGTTCTAACTATCAAAAGTTTGAGATATAAGTTCAAATCATTGCATAAAAAACATAATATCAAGTTTTATCATCATGCAATTTGTAAGCTAGAAAATTTAGCAAGTGTTACATCTTGCAAGCTATCATGTTTTAGATATGCAAGGTAGTAAGATAGCAGGGTTATAACATACAAGCTAGCAAAAATTTCGAAAGCAAATGCAAGATAGCTTTCTTGTTGAAGTGTATAAGCTAGTGATTCTTGCTTCCTATTGCAATATGCAAGTTGCAAGTTTTGCTTCTGGAGATTGGCAAGTTAGTGATGTTCAAGATAGCAAGCTCTTTCTTCTCCTTTGAGAAGTGTCATTTTTGTTTTCTTTGTAAAGTGCAAGCTAGCAAAATTTTACATTATTTTACAACAATCAATCTAGCAATTTGGTAAGTGTTACTTCTCTTTAAAGTATGAAAGCTAGCAAGTTTTTGAAAAATAATGTAAGATAATAAGCTATCAAGACACAATGTTTTACATGAAGTAAGCTACATAAAATACGTTTGCATCTTTTCTTTAGATGCACAATCAAGCAAGCAAGTTTTTGCAACTTCTTGACTTGTGCAAGTTAGCTAGCAAGCTAGCTATCTCCCCCTTTATCATTTTCAAAAAGAAGGAAAGAATACAATTTTATATCTCTTTTTTCCTTTACAATAATTTTTAAATCATAATAAAGGATAAATAACAAAGATGAAAAATCAAGTCATGAATTTTAAAATAATTTTTCATCATGAATATTTCATCATTGTATGTATCATTATCATAAGTTAAAGTATTACATGCATAATGCCAAAACATCATTTATAATTACATCAATATTTCAATCATTATTTCAATATATTTGTGCATCATTACAGTTTTAATTTAAGACATGCATAATTTTAAAACATTACATATCATCTTTACTCTATGCATGATACTAAAAATAAATCAATTATCATATCATATATGATACTCATAAGCTAGCAAATTTATATCATTTTAGAGTATCAAAACAATATCATGAGTATTTCATGTATTCATATCATCAATATTTCAATCATTATTTCAATCATAAAAAATGAAAGATCAAGTCTAAAATTCAAGAAATCAAGAGAAACCATGATCCATTTTAACAAATCTCCTCTTAAATAATTAACAAAAATAACTCTTAGGAGATTATGATATAGATAAAATTTATTTAATCTTGTAGGAGAACAAGATCTCAATTCATGCATATAAAATATTATGATTCACATAGAAAATCTCTTCTTTAGTAAAATACCAAGAAAAATCGTAGGAGTACAAAGAAGAGATCTTGATTAAAAAAATATCTCAAATAATTCTAATAAACCAAGATCATGATTTTGATAAAACTTATTCAAATTTAGATCGTCAAAATCATCAAAATCTCAACATTTCTTTCAAGAGATTCAAAATGGCATAAATAATTTTATTGATCTCTTAGTGAAAAATCGATAAGGTAGGGATTGAGAAGTTTTCAAGAAAAATACTTTCCTCTTTTTGTTTTAACTTATTGATTGATTTCATACATATATGTTCTTTTCTTTTATACCAAATTCATGCATCATTCATTAACACCAAAAAAGAACTTTCAAAAGATCATAAAAATTATCATGCATAAGTTTGAAATATAAACTCGTTAAGCATGCTTTCAAATCATCATTACATTTTTATTAAGATATCAAGCATGGTTTCATTGAACATAATGTTGAATGATTCTTAAAGATATCTAAATCTTTTTAGTTTCAATTTTTGTGATTGACTTTATATTAGCATGCCCAAATATTTGTTCTTATGTCACAAACCATGCATCAACGTTTAAAACAGAAAGATCAAAAAATCATTAAGATCAAAAAGTATAACACATAATTCCAAAACATATGATTTCAAATCATTACTTCAATCAAGTCCTTATGCATAAAAATCATCAAGTATGATACAAATATTTATTTTTAAAATATTCATCATGATAAGACATATAAGCCAA